ACGGCACTTTGGAAAGGTTCCTTGTCCACAATGTGTTTTATGGTGCGTTTGTCCCTATCATTCAATTTTGGTGGACGGCCACTTCTTCGAGTATTTTCAATCTGACCCTCGTTTTTAAAACGCCCTATCACATGTTGGATTGTGGACCGGCTTCTAGACATAATTTTCGCTATTTCTGCATAGGATTTTCTTTCTTTTACGTGTAAATTTAAAATTATTTTTCTTTCCTCAACCGTAAGCTCTTTACGCGACATTTTTGTGGCTCCTACTCAAGTTTGATATTCCAAGAATTGCACCAATGCAAAGGAAGGCACACAAAAACATAGGAAAAAAGCGCCGTTACAATTGTCAAAACAGAACAGAAACGAGCGCGATTATTCTTAAATGTATCATCACTTTTGTGGAACAAAATGTATAAAGTTTTTAAGTTTTTTCTAATTTCTAAGTAAACTAAGGGAAAAAGTTGTTATATTAATTTGTAATATTGTTAAGATATCTGAAATAAACAACATGGCATTCTTACATTTTTTGTTTATATATTAATTAAGGAGTTATCGTTAACTAAAGTATAAATCGTCTGCTGTATCATGAATTAAGTGGCACACTGTAGTTATCTATCAGAAGATTAGGCTATAAACATCTAGCCAGCAGCAGGTTGTCCGTGGGGTTCGGAACCAAGCTGTTCACAATCCAGGCGGTAAAATCATTTGTCAGCAGGGAATAGGATCCCTTCAGTTGGGAAGGCGGAGGGTCGGCAAACTGCGGCCACGAAAGTCTACAAAGATTCATCGACGACTTCCCAACGGCGCCTCCAGACACCTACACCCCCCAATCGCGACCGCCACGTGCCAACCCCCCCGACAGGGCAGCTGCTCCTAGATGAGAGAGAGAGAGAGTTAGCCAGTATCACTTGGAAATAACCCCAAAACAAAATATTAAAATCTATCTAAAAATTATGTAAATTAAAGTGCAGTTGATCGTGTTACGCTATTTGAAATACTTACGAACCCCAAGCTGGTACAAGCGTTGCATAACTCTCTTCTTTCACCTGTAAATGTCTGCACGAGAATCAGCACTAAGTCTTGGGTATCGACGGCGGTTGCGAAGAAATAATTAAAAACTTGTCTCTCTAAGGAATTTCAACTAGTTAACCCCTGGAACCATGGAGCGCTTCATCGGAATTTTCAGAGGGTAAGTGATCGCATGCTACTCTTGTTTTGATTGTTTCGGGTAAGCCGCCGATTGAAAAAAATGTACCCCAAAAGCGAATGTGTGAGCTAAAACCCTCCAAAACGAATAACCGGCTGCCGTCCCAAAATACAAAACCTTCGGTGATGATCTGGTTTGCCTAAACATAAGTCCGGCCGAGATAAGCTTTCCAGGCAGTTTTGTTTTGATTGCGTTATTCGTCTTGGAGAATTTTGGCTGCCCTCAAATATGAATTAAAGGGAACTCATTGCGTGTAATTATGGTTTGCCTTGCATAAGTAAATCAAAGAAAATAAAAAGAAAAGAAAAACAAATATGTAAACAGACAAGCCCGGTGAAGAAAACGAAAGAAATGAATTAATAAATGTGACCCATACAAAGAAACCAATCAACTGCACTTGAAACTAAGAAAACCTATGCCTAGAATAAAAATTTAAAAGACCAGTTTTGTTAGAGAATATAACTTGAATTGAAATCATGAAGTTAAGTGAATGAAATCTTAAATAATGTACGTTAATTACACCCCTACAACATTTGCTTGTAAAACTTAATTATATATATACCATGATGAAAGGCTAAGTCCCCTTTTAATTTTTTTTCCGAGGACATGGGGCTCTAAAATAAAATAATAATTAACTATACATTTTGGGGTTCTTAATTAACACCTTAACAGAAAGAACCAAGGTTGGGAGGGTATAGAAGGGTAGGACGAACAACATCTTAGTCCCATCCGCTTTTATCTATTCAACTTAAGTGCTGCATATCGATTTAGTTCATCCGCCATTCATTGTTCAGTTCCATTATTGTTTTGAGGTTATAGTGCGGAATTTCGATTAGTTAGTTTCTGGAGGGATCTTTAAATATTTCGACGTAATCGCGATCTACAACAGCCGCAACAACCCACCCAATTCCTCCCGCTGAAGCTAGGGGTATCAAAAGGTCCCAATCGCGAGTTAGTTGTGGATTCATGGCCAGTAGGTTATCTCCAGAAGGTGAGACAGAAAAGACTTTTCCTACAAGGCGTGCGTTACATAATGAGAATAATAATGAGAATAATAATGAGAATAATAATGAGGATAATAATAAGAATAATAATGAGAATAATAATGAGAATAATAATGAGAATAATAATGAGAATAATAATGAGAATAATAATTTGAATAATAATGAGAATAATAATGAGAATAATAATGAGAATAATAATGAGAATATTAATGAGAATAATAATGAGAATAATAATGAGAATAATAATGAGAATAATAATGAGAATAATTATGAGAATAATAATGAGAATAATAATGAGAATAATAATAATAATAATAATAATGAGAATAATAATAATAATGAGAATAATGAGAATAATAATAATAATAATAATGAGAATAATAATAATAATTATAATAATAATGAGAATAATAATAATAATGAGAATAATAATAATAATGAGAATAATAATAATGGGAATAATAATAATAATGTGAATAATAATAATGGGAATAATAATAACGGGAATAATAACAATAATGGGAATAATAATAACACACGTTTACAAAAACAAATCGATGAAATACGCCTTCAAGGAAACCTTTGTTTTCCGGTAAGGTACATCTCCCTGATTAAGAAAAGGGCACTTAAAATTTTTTCTATGGTACCAATTTTTTTAAACTGGTGTAATAATGAGAATAATAATAATAATGAGAATAATAATAATAATAATGAGAATGATGAGAGTAAAATCAGTAGAACCAAACCTAGATATTATTTATATTATTATTATTGTAAAATTATAATTATTTTTATTTTTATTATTATTATTATTATAACTATTATTGTAATTATAATTATAAGAATAATTATAAATTATATTATAATACTACTATAATTATTATTATAAATATAATGATAATTATAATAATTAATTAATTAATTATAATTATATAATAATAATTATATAAATAATATCTAGGCTTGGTTCTGCTAATTTGGGGGTCCTCATATCGTAGGGGGAAACCTGTTCGGTGGACAATTATAAGCAATATTGCCAAAGAAACTTTGGTAATAGTCTACAAAAGGGGCATGTGGCCCAGAAATCGCTCGATTTTTTTATCCGTTACTCGTAGAGTAAAAGGGTATACTAGATTCGTCGGAAAGTATGTAACAGGCAGAAGGAAGCGTTTCCGACCCCATAAAGTGTATATATTCTTGATCAGGATCACTAGCCGAGACGATCTAGCCATGTCCGTCTGTCTGTCCGGATGAACGCCGAGATCTCGGAAACTGTATGAGCTAGGATATAGAGATTTGGCATGCAGATTCCTGAGCTTCTTACGCAGCGCAAGTTTGTTTCAGCAATGTGCCACGCCTACTTTAACGCTCACAAACCGCCCAAAACTTTGGCTCCTACAGTTTTAATGCTAGAATAAAAATTGTTACTGAAATGTGTTGTCCTCATCAATACCCATTACCCAAAAAAAAGTTTGCCACGCCCACTCTAACGCCCACAAACCGCCTAAATCTGTTGCGCCCACAATTTTTATGCTAGATAAAAATTTTTAACTGAAATGTCTCGTCAATACCTATCGATTGACCCCAAAGAAAGTGTGCCACGCCCACTGTAACGCCCATAACGTCTAGATCTGTCTACCGCCCACATATCCATATATTGAGATCGCGGGTATGTGGCGTATTTCAATCTCGCTTTACTGCTTGCATATCTCCATTTCCCTTTGGTCTCTTTAGCTGAGTAACGGGTATCTGATAGTCGAGGTACTTGACTATAGCGTTCTCCCTTGTTTAGTAGTTGCTTTATTGATGTTGATGCTGAGGCTGAGTTTAATAAAACCAATAAGGCCTTTTTACAATTTATATCTTTATAACTGTGGCCGGCAGTCCGTGTAGTGACGAATCGTACCGGGAGTGTGCGCGAGGAGACTCCTATATATAGTCTGATATAAATGATTCTATGTTTCGTTTTTTTGAAAAAGTCACAAAAGTCAACGGTCAATATTTATTTTTAAAGAAAAGAATCGTCTTTATTTATTCATTCATTAAAGATATAACATTTAAAATAATTTTGGTTTCAAAAATAATTTGTATTTATATGAAAAGAAAAAAAAAGACGATTATTATCATTATCATCGATGGTCAACGCATTATTCAGTACGACCATAGTCCGCGTTTACTACGTAGTGCAGAAAAGCGACTTTGACTTTCAAAGATGTGTAGCTATCGTTATTTAAAATCCCAAAAAAAGAAATCTGGTCCCACTTCTGAGCTTGCACATACACTCACAAAACCACTTGCGCATGCGTAATGAACGAATGTTAAAAATAGCACAACCTCCTCCTTCATTCTCTTTCCCTCTTTCCTCTCGCAATTATGCGTACAAACGATCTTAGCCAGCAGACTTGAAATATGTTCGTTATGGCGGACTTTTTTTAACGATCATTTTAAGGTCATACTCTCACCCCATTAAATATTTCCCTAATGCATAACAGAAAGAAAAAGTAGAAAAAATTTGTTTTTGATGGTGCGCAATGGATTTTAAGATTTTTAGGCATATTTTTCATTCGTCTAGCCAGCTTGTTCTAATAACCTAATATTTAATGGACTAAAATTCCAAGGATTTTCGCTTACTAAGCCCTTGTTCTTTACAATAATAAAATACAATCGCTATTTTAATGTGAATACCACTAAAATTAATTTAAGTTTCCTGTACACTTGATTTTTAAAGGGTATAGAAAAAAAACTTATTGTACATAAAATTATTTCATTTAATGTTTATATTTACAGTTAACGTCTACAAGATGTCGATATCAGTAATCAAATACAATTACAATATCTTAGTATTGGTTCTTTTTGCAACATCCAATATATGTGTACATGGATCAAATGACCCATATACAATATTAGGGATAAACAACTTTGCTACTACACAGGAAATAAGAAAAGCTTACAAGCAATTGGCAAAAGAATGGTAAGTCTATTCTGAGAAATGAATTGGGTAAGCTGTCTTGTGCTACTTTTCACTCGAAAGTAACTTCTTTAAAATTGATTGGTTTACTTATAAACGTAATGACTCTTCCCATTTCAAACAGCTGATTACAAAGGACAAAGGTGTATACTTTGTCTAAGTTCTTTTTAGCAATAAAATGAAGATTGGACTGGAAAAATTCAAACATTTAAATAAAGTTGTTAAAATTAGAGGAAACGAAAACAAATTGAACGAAAAACGAACGATTCGTTTTTTGAACGTCAATTTTCCAAAAATAGATATTTATCAAAGGTTTAAAGGCAGGAAGTTACTGACATCTATTGAGCATATTCCTGTAAAAGTTCGATGGTGAAATTTTAGCGGAGTTAAATATTACAGCTCTTGGCGACAACCAATATTTTTTTCACTTTTAAAAGTTGTAGGCTAAGGTGAAGATCTGATAAATACACACTAAAACTCTATGCAGATGTTAAAATTATTTATTTTTCCTTTAACAAAAGTTGAAAATGTACAATAATGGAATACAAATTTAACTGTACACCTAAAAAAAAGACTACTTCAGTTCTTGATTTAAATTGAACAAATTGACAGACGGACATGGGTTAGATCGACTCGTCTAGTGATGCTGATCATATATACCTTATGGAGTCGGAAACGTCTCTTTCACTGCGTTGCAAACTTCTGACTGAAATCATAATACCCACGCCAACCAGGATCGCCGTGAAGCGACGACGAGGAAAATCAGAAAGAACCACAAGAATTAACCCTTCGTACCATAAGCAAAGCTAATTATTCATTTTCCTAATTTAAAATTTTGCGTCTTGTTTTGGTCACAGACCATCGGAAACTCTCAAAACGTGGCAAAATACAAGGTGTGTTCCAAAGTAGACAGGACTTTTAAAAAAAGGACAGAACAAATAGTTTTTTCGGCAAAATCAATTTATTTTATTCAAAATAGTATCCTTCTGCTTTAATACAGCGTTTTGCACGGTCCAAAAGCATGTCAAACGAGTGTTTTAGCTCGTTGCCCGGTATGGTCGCCGGTGCAAGCCTTTTGAATGGCCTCTACGTCTGCATAACGCTTTCCTTTCATCGGCAAATGCATTTTTCCGAAAAGGTAGAAGTCGCCCGGTGCCATATCAGGTGAATACGGGGAGTGGTTGATGGTTAAGATGTGATTTTTGGTCAAATAGTCGGACACAAGCGTCGATCGATGAGACGGCGCATTATCGTGCAACAAACGCCAACTTCTATCTTTGCGATTTTCGGGCCGAACACGTTGAATACGGCGCACCAAACGCTTCAAAACTCCAAGGTAGAAAACCGCATTAACGTTTTGGCCGGGTGGAACAAATTCTTTGTGGACAATACCCTTGGAATCATAAAAACAAATCAGCATTGTCTTCACTTTTGACTTCTCCAGGCGCGATTTTTTGGGTTTCGGCTCGTCCGGCGCCTTCCATTCAGCACTCTGGCGTTTCGTTTCAGGATCATATTGAAAACACCACGTTTCGTCACCAGTCACAATCTTGTAAAGGAAGTTCGGGTCTTTTTTTGCCTCTTCAATGATGTCCTTCGAATGTTGAATTCTGAACAATTTTTGGACGTCAGTCAATTTGTAAGCCCAAATGTTCGGTCAAAATGCGATAAATCAATTAGGGTATTCAATTGCGTTGCAAAAGTGTAAACTTTGTAAATTTGCTAGACGAGAATTGTGAACGCCCTCTATTTTAAAACATCGTCGCAGGATATTGACGTACAAAAGAAAGCTAACTTTTAAATTTTTGTGAGAAGAAGGCTATGATCATCGCTTGGTTTCGACCTCCCTGGCTCTCTTCCTTGAGGGTTTTCCTTCCATTGAAATGGTTATTCAATTATTTTGTTTTACAGAAGACAAATATTTTTCTTTTGTATTTAAAATTCAAATTTGTTTCTTTCCTTTCACTGTCAATATCATGGATTTAAGCCCAACTTTTCAGTATATTTTTAATATTTTAGATAAAATTCCTACCCATTATTAACCCCCTATTTCTACACAAGTACAACAGGTTTGTATACATAGGCTGGGGTGTTGTAGGCCTTGAAAACTATTTTGTATGGAAATTGTTGTTGGAGCTGCTTTCACTATTACACTTTTCAAAAGTGTGCAACGCAATTGAATACCCTAAATGTTTTGGAGATGTTCAATTCTATTTCCATGAATTTCAATGATGATCTCGGCTAATTTTTATGAATTCACGCACAGTTTCTATGGAATTTTCGGTGATCACGGATTTTGGTTGGCCCACATGTTCATCGTCATTTATGTCCTCACGACCATTTTGAAAACGTTGAAACCACTCGTGCACTCTGCTACGGGATAGGCAATCATCGCCATAAACTTGTTTCATCAATTGAAACGTTTCGGTAAAAGGTTTACAAATTTTAAAACAAAATTTAATGTTGGCTCTTTGCTCGAAGCTCATTTTCGCACCGATGACAAAAACATACTGACACTTAAAACGCAATAACCTCACTTGCAATAGATGAAATGTCATGAAATTTTTACTGGAAGTCGATAAACGATAGCAGATTCTAACGCACCAGTTCACATATAGATGGCGCCACTATAGGGCGCTAGATTATAAAAGCCCTGTTTACTTTGGAACTCACCTATTTTTCTCTAAAACCAAGATAAAAATTTAATGTGTCATACCTATCAATTGATTAAGAAAAATAAGTACACAATAAAACGAAACCAACAAAACGCTTTAGTGGAGTGTCTCGACTATCAGATACCTGTTACTTAGCATTTAAATTGATAATGGATAAAAGTTAAGTTAAAATGTTAATTCGCAAAAAAATGCCTCAGGCACTCGGGATTTGCTATACGCGAGTTAGTCGTAAACTAATGGGAAAACTAAAAGATTAACAGCGCTGTAAAGAGCACGAGTTCTCGTTCTTTTTACTTTCTTTTAGTGTTTTGCAACACTGGCTAAAGATATTTTCTTCTTGACAGGTTGGTGGGCGTCAATCGATCGAATTGATGAGACCAATACATTTCAGTTATAGTTTTTTTTAGCATTAAAAGTGTGGCGCCACTATTTTGGGGGGTTTGTGGGAGTTAGAGTGGGTGTGCCACATTAGCGTAACAAACTTGCGTAACGAAGCAAAGAAACCTAAATATGAAATTTGAGCTCTCTAGATTTAACAGCATTCAAAACATCAGTATTTATATGGACGAATTATTTGAAGTTTGTGGGAGGTTTGTGGGCGTTAGAGTGAGCGTATCACCCTGCTTAAACAAACTTGCGCTGCTTAGGTATCTCTAGAATCTGCATGCTTTATCCCAGTATTGCAGCTTTTATAGTTTCCAAGATCACAGCGTTCATACGGGCAGACGGACATGGCATGATCGACTCTGCTAACCATCCTGATCAAGAATATATATACTTTATGTGATTGAAAACTCTTCTTTCTACCTGTTACTTTTTGACGAATCTAGTATACCCTTTTAATCTACGAGTAATGGGTATAATAATTATTAGGGGAGTGTAGGGTAAGGTAACGATTAGGGTAAGGTGACAAACTCGTCAAAAAATTCCAAATAATTGTAGTCAATTTATCTTATCGTGCCGACAATTTATTCGTGAGACAATTTTGACTAAAAAGTATGTTCAAAAACCTAAATACCTATTCAATTCATACGGGTCTCAGAAGTGCCAGATCAAAACTTTGGGGAAAACCAGGTCAGACAAATATGCACGTACGTGGTGTGTTTTATTGTTTTGCGCCTCATGAAAGTGGCACCATCGTATTTCCAACAGTACCTTGTACGGTATCGTGACGAATGGAGACTTAATTCTTTTTTTGTTGTTTGTTTCTTTTCCGCAGCCGATAATTACAAAAAACAATAATTGTACCCTTGCAGAGCGTATTCTGATTTCAGTCAGAAGTTTGCAACGCAGTGAAGGAGACGTTTCCGATCCCATAAAGTATATATATTCTTGATCAGCATCACTAGACGAGTCGATCTAGACATGCCCGTCTGTCCGTCCGTTTCTACGCAAACTATTCGCTCAGTTTTAAAGCTATCGGACTGAAACTTTCACAAAAGTCGTTTTCCTTTTACAGGTTGTATTTAAATCGGAACCAGCCGGATCGGACAACTATTTCTTATATCTCCCATAGAAATAATCAAAAAAAAAAAATTTTTTAATTTTATCTTTCGTGTTTTTTAACATATATTCTCCTACGCTTGGAAATAACGTTTTTTAATTAGTTCTGAATTTCGAATTTAATTTTATCAAAATAGGACGACTATATCATATAGCTGCAATAGGAGCGATCGGAAAATTGGTGGAAAAATAATGTGAAACAAATTATAGCTTCTGTGTTTTTTGATATATTATCTTTTACTATTGGGAATATCATTCTTTGTATATTTAAGAATTTCGAAATTATTTTCATAATTATAACTGTTGTTTTTTATTTAAATTTATTTCTTACTTATGTTCTAGCACCAGAATATAAATATAAAGAATATAATAATATAAATAATGACTTCCTTATAAATTAATAAAGTAATCACAACATCAAAGTTCAATACTATAAAATGTGTAGGTCTCTACTTACCTTTTCAGCCGTAAAATTCATATATTTTTACATTTAACATTTAATACAGCTAGCACAGTACATAGTTGTTGTAAATAAGTAATTTTTGATTATTTAATGGGCACTTTGATATGTAAAACTTTTAAATAAATGGCATTGCCCTTGTAATTGATTTAATGCATTGTTTTACATTCGGCACGCTTTATCAAATTCGTACAGCTCAGCCCAAGCATATTGAATAGCAGCGCGCCGAATGTAAAAAAAAATTAAGAAATTGTATTTATTTAGTAGATCGTATAATACATTTTTGTCACAAAAGATTATATCACCCCTTTTGTTTGTTGAAGGTGCTATCGTCCCTAGATTTTTACCTCATTAGGAGCTCTTAT